GATGTTGCTGAAGTGTATGTCGTGTAGTGTTTGGCCCATCTTTGCTTCTAGGTATTTATGGTTTCCGTTCTTATGTCTAGGTCTTTAATCTACTTTGAGTTGATTTTTGTATATGGTGAGAGGTAGTGATCTAGTTTCATTTTTTTGCATGTAGCTTCCCAGTTTTCCCAGCACCATTTGCTGAACAAACTTTTTTTGTTCCATTGTATCTTCTTTGCTCCTTTGTCAAAGATTACTTGTCCATAAACCTGTGGGTTTATATATGGGTTTTAGCTGTGGCTAGCTTCTTAATGTTGCGTTTCAACCTGTTGAGCCACCAGGGAAGGCTCCATTTTTTTAACTGTTCTATAGTAAAAATACATGTGATACAGTATTCACAAGTTTTCAAATAAACAGTTCAGCAGCACTAAAGACATTGTCACACAGCCATAACCAGTGTCTATATCTAGAATTTTTTCATTGTCCCAAACTGAAACTACCCATTAAATAGTAGCATCCTGTTTCTCCCATCCTGGTCAGTCACCACTTGTTTTATGAATTTGACTATTTCAGGATCTTCATATAAATTGAAACTCAGTGTATTTATTCTTTTTTGTAGGACATATTTCCTCTAGTATAATGTTTTCAGGTTTAGTCCATATGGTTGCCCCTGTCACAGTTTCATTTATTAAGACTGAATCATATTCTAATGGTATTTGTAATACATTTTATCTGTTCTTTTAAATGTTGTATAGTATTTGGGTTGTTACCACCTGTTAATTGTGAATAATGCTGCTATGCCCATTGGTATAGAAATCATCACTTCTAGTTTCAGCTTTTAATACTTTTAAGTATATACCTGTAAGTGGAATAACTAAATCATATGGCAGTTTCACCTTTAATGTTTTGTGTTAAAGTGTTAACCAGTTTAATTTGATAATTTTTTAATTATACTTTCATAGCTGCCTGTACCATTGTACTTTCTCATTTGTCCACAAGGGTTCTAGTTAGTCCATATTCTCACCAGAATTAATTTTTTAGTTTTTTGATACTACTCATCCTAATGGGTGTGAAGAGGTATTTCTCTGTTGTTTTGATTTACATTTTCCTAATGATTAGTTAGGGATTTTGAGCTTTATTTATTTAGCTTAGAACTGGGGTATAGGCTGGAAGTACAGGTGCAGGGAAAGGGGGTTAAGAAGATTCACTAGAGACAGAGTGGGGAGTAGAACAGGCAGATCAAATGAAACACACTGCTGAGAGGAGAGCCTGGCAAGACAGGAGAGGTTTGCTGTCCATACAAGGCTTTCATGTCAATATGGTCCTTCTTTATATAATTGTTAGCAAAACAGCTGTGAAAATTCTTTGACCATTTTTGCCTTGTGTTGGTAACTTGTAGGAACTTTTTATATAGTCTATAGCTCAAGTCTTTATCTTTTATCCTTTACAGCTATTTTGTCCCATTCTGTGGGCTCCCTTTTCACTTAGTAGTATCTTTTGATACACAGAAGTTTTTAATTTTGAAGTCTGATACCTATTTCTTTGTTATCTGTGCTTTTGGTGTCATATCTAAGAAAAAAATGCCAAATCTGTTATGGAGCTTTTCTCTTGTTTTCTTCTAAGAGTGTTTTTTTTTTTTTTTTTAATGTTTAGATTTTGATCCACTTTGAGTTTTTACATGTAAGGTAAGGTAAAGATCCAACTTTATTCTTTTGCATAAGGATATCCACCGATTTTGCCAGCACCTTTTTCAAAAGTGACTTCAAAGTTATGATAATCAAAAGTATAAGTCCTCTAATTTTGTGTTTTTTTCCATTTTAGCTATTCATTGTCCCTTGAAATTTCTTAGGAGTTTTGTGATGGAATTTTCTGTTTCTACAAAAACATCGTGGAGATTTTCATAGACGTTGCATTAAATCTGTAGGACACTTTAGGTGACCTGAGAATACTAAGTCTTTCAGTTTGTGAATACAGATTCTTTACATTTATTGTCTCTAGTAATACTGTAGAGCTTTCAGTGTATCGATTCTTTCCCACTATTTGTAAGAAAATCTAACTAAGATGCTATTTTACATGGAACTAATACCTTGATTTTCTTTTTCCAGATTGTTAACTGGTAGTATGTAGAAATCCGATTTTCTGTTGGTTTTGTAACCTGTAACTTTGCTGA